CCCGAGGCCCCCACCCCGCACCCCATCCCTCCAAATGGGAAGGTCGGAGGTTGATCGACCTCCTACCCTTAAGTCGGGCTTGTCCCTCTACAGAGGGAATTTTCAAAAATAGTAAGGAAACCGTCAGGGGACGATGTTTTGAGCATGTGTTTGCCATTTTGGCTTTTTTTTTCATTGTTTTCTAGTTGTCGTCCAAACTCCCCCTGTAGGAGGACAGGCCCGACCTCATTTTACCCTGACACGTCGATCAGCGAATTGGCCGTTTTCGGTTCGCGAGAGGGCGTCGCGACACCGACGACGACGACAGCGTCAACGGCGGCGGCGGCGCACCTGGCGCCCGCGCCTGGCGACGGCGGGGGGGGCAGAGATCGTCGCCACCATCGTCATCGTCATGACCACCACAAACAGCTTCATCGTCATCATCACCAGCATGCTCATCATTATCGCCATCGTCTTCGTAATCATCTTCACCATTGCCGAAGTCAAGCCTACCACAGATCAATCCAGCCCTGGTCTCCCATCAGGGTTGGATCGAGCTCTAACTGATTCCTTTTTGGGCTCGATCCAGCTCCATTCAAACCCGGATAGGTCTGGACCATGTTTAAACTTATCCTTAGTAGGGTTCGGTGAAGCTCTCATAGAATCTTGCTGGGGGTCGATCCAGCTCTAATGCAGTCCTGCTAGGGCTGATCCAACGCAGATCGAATCTTATCAGGGTTGGATCTAGCTCTGGCCGAATTCTGTTCTAGCTCGATCCAGATCCATCACAAGTTGAATCATACTTGGGCTCGATCCAGCTCTATGATAATCCCATTAGGGCTGGATCCAGCTCTACAGAAACCCTCGAACGGCCTCATGCAGCTCTAAGAGAGTGCCATTAGGCCTGGATGCACCCCCCATAGAATTTAACTAAGGTTGGATCCACCTCCTAAAGCAGTTCTAGCGGGGCTGGGTCCAGCTCTTCGAGCATCCAACTAGGGTTCGATCCAGCTCGAAGAGAATCCCACCACGCTTGGATCCCATTGTACAAGAGCCCAATTGGGACTCGATCCAGGTTCAATCGTATCTCATTAGGGTGGGATCCAGCTCCAATTGGCTTCCAGTAGGTTTCGATCCAGCTCTAGTCATTCTCATCGGGGCTGGATCCAGCTCCAGTTAACTCCTAGCAGGGGCGGATCCAGCTCTGAAAGCATCCTAGGTGAGCTGGATCCGTCTCTAATGAACTCCTATCCGGTCTCGATCTAACTCCAATCGGATCCTGCTTGGGTGCGAACCATATCTAAGAGAAACCCATCGGGCTGGCTCCAGCCCCCCAAAACAAAACTACGAGGGTTCGATCCATCTATGATAGAGTTCTGCCAGGGCTGTTTCAGCTTTGATAGAAGCTCCATAGGGCTGGATCCAGTTCTGACAGAATCCGATTCGGTGTCGATCCAGCTCTAAGAGAATCCTACGATGGCTGGATCCGGATCTGGGTGAATCTTACTACGGCTGGATCCAGCACCACGACAACCGTACGAGGGCCCCATCCAGCCCAAGTAGATTCCGACTAGGGCTGGATTCAGTTCTAAGAAAACCGTGTTTGGGTTGGCTCCACCTCCGATAGAGTCCGATCAGTTGTCGATCCACTGCCAATCGAAACCAAACAGGGATCTGTCCAGTTCGAAGGGATTCCTACTCGGGCTGGGTCAAGCTATGAACAACTCCTGTTGGGGCTCGACGCAGCTATAATCCAATCTTACTGGGGTGGATCCAGGTCTGATGTAATCTCACGTTGGTTCAATCCAGCTCCCAGAGAATCTCATTGGGGCTGGATCCAATCAAGTTGATGTTTATTTAGGTTCGATCCAGCCTGAAGAGAGTCCCAACAGGGGTGGATCCAGTCTAAAGGAAATAATCCTGCTGGGGCTCGACCCGTCTGTCTGTGAGAAATCCTACTGGGCAGGATCCAGTTCTGAAGGAATCCGACAAGGGGGACTGGATCCGGCTCCCATAGAAGCCCCCTCAGGTTGGACTCAGCTGCACAGCAGAATCCTAGGGTGGGGTGGGCTCAGCAAAAAATAACGATCCCTTCCAGGGCTCGATCCCGCTCTGAACAGACCCTATCAGGGCTCGATCCAGCTTTGATCGTATCCCCCTACAGGAATCGATCGTCGTCGGCGCCGGCGCCAGCGCGTCGTCGCCGTCGCCCGCTGTCGTCGTTGTTGCAACTGGCAAACAGAGGGGGGTTGGGCGGCCAAGTGCCAGGAGGGAGGAGGACGTGCAGGAGGAGGGAGGGAGGGGGAGGGGGAGGCAAAAGGAGGACTAGGAGGGGGAGCAGGAGCAGGAGGAGGAGGGGGATAAGGAGGAGGAGGAGGAGGAGGACAAGTGTAAAACCAAGAGTCATCAACGATGTTGGCATTAACCTTCCCTCAACGCTCCCTCTTCATAGGCCCCCACAACGGACCATTTCCATTGAGGGAACTGCCTCGCTGGAAGACACCCGTTCGAAGATCATGAGGCATGCCATAATATTGTTCTCAGGAATTCAACGCCACGTATCAACCTGACTGCTGCGTGTTGACGAGCCAGAATTGTGCCAGAGCGCCATTTTGGGAATGCAGCACCGCGAATCAACATAATTGTTGCACCCGCATAATGCTGAATCCTTCCAAAACGCCAATTCTGGTACGCTGATCATGGGAATATGTGATCCGCTTTGCATTTGTTGAGAACTAATGTGCGCGGCGCTAAGGCGAGAGCCACATTTTGAAAATCATCCGCCCTCAATCCGTGAAACTCTTGCAATATGCTTAAAGCGAATGTATGCGGCGCTACGGCGAGGGCCACATTTTGAAAACCACCCGCCCTCCATCCGCGAAACTTCTTGCAATATGTTTACAGCGAATGTGCGCGGCGCTAAGGCGAAAGCCACATGTTGAAAGCCACCCGCCCTCAATCCGTGAATATCTTGCAAACTGTTCAAAGCGAATGTGCGCGGCGCTCTGGCGAGAGCCACATTTTGAAAACCACCCGCCCTGCATGTGTGAATATGTTGTCATTGTTTAAGCTTCAGAGTCACCAACGGTGAGGGGGTCTCAAGCGAAACGCCCGGCCCGCTCTACAAATTGGCCTCGGGGTGCGACTGGGTGAAGTTATCTATAAGGAGAAGGAATGGAGGAAGAGGAGGAGGAGGAGGAGGCGGAGACGGAGGAGGAGGGGAGGGAGGAGGAGGAGGAGGAGGAGGTGGAGGAGGAGCAGGAGGAGGTGAAGGAGGGAGAGGGGAGGAAGGAGGAGGGGAGGAGGAGGAGGAGGAGAGGAGGGAGGAGGAGGAGGAGGAGGAGGGGAGGAGGAGGAGGAGGAGGGAGAGGAGGATGAGGAGGAGGAGGAGGAGGCGGAGGGAGGAGGAGGAGAGAGGGAGGAGGAGGAGGAAGGAGGAGGAGGAGGAGGAGGAGGGAGGAGGAGGGAGGCGGAGGCGGAGGTGGAGGCGAAGGCAAAGGCGGAGGCGGAGGTGAAGGCTGAGGCGGAGGAGGAGGAGGCGGAGGCGGAGGCGGAGGAGGAGGAAGAGGAGGAGGAGGAGGAGGCGGAGGCGGAGGCGGAGGCGGAGGTGGAGGCGGAGGAGAAGGGGAGGAGGAGGAGGAGCAGGAGAAGCAGGAGGAGCAGGTGGAGGCTGAGAAAGGGGGAGGGGGAGGAGGCGGGGGGGGGAGGGGAAGGAAGGGGGTCGAATCCCCCCGCCCCTCCCTGTTGAGGGGGAGCGGGGTGGAGTGCCCCCTGGCTGCAGAAAAAAGAGGTCCTGTAGGGCAGTTAAAGGAGCCCTTCGGGTCTCAACGGAGAGCGTTTAGGGCCCGAGAGGTGCACCTTGCCCCCCCCCCCCCCCCCCGCTTCTCTCGAAGACGAACAATCGGCACAAACTGAATTTGCTAGCGCTCAGCGCGGATTTCTTGGATACGCGCTGGGGCTCCCTTGCGGCGCCCCTGGCGCGCTCCGCGCGCCAGGGAGGGGGTCCACCGCAGATCCACCAAGAAATCCGTGCGGAGCGCCAAAAGTTTATGTTTATGCATTGTTTTTTCTTCTACGATCGCCCCCCAGTAAAAGACGTCCAACCTGCAGTCCATGGCGCTGGTTCGACTCACCCCACGCCCCTTCCGAGCGTCCGCAGAAGGTGCTCTGTTTGTTGTTTTAGCGAGCGAACGAGGCCCAGCGCGGCGGACCCGCATGCGGCCTTTCTTATTCGGTTTGTGTGCAGCGGCGTCGCAGTCTCTTCATTCGAAGAAGAAAAAACGATATAAGCGTTAACTTTTGGCGCTCCGCGCGGTTTCTTGGATCCGCGCTGGGACCCCTCAGCGGCGCCTCCGGCGCCGCCCCTGGCGCGCGGAGCGCGCCAGGGAGGGGGTCCAGCGCGAATCCAAGAAGTCCGAGCGGAGTGCCACAAATGTATGTTGATGTTTTTTTTCTGTTTTTCTCATGGGCTTGCATGTTCACGGACCTGCCAATGGCCTTGCATGGACGAGACATGGGAAGGACCAGGGCCAGAACCAGGTTGAAAACGCAGAGGGACCATACAGGAAAACTCATGTCGAAGAGCAGCGGGAGCCCAGGAAGTTACAGACGCCAAGCAAATGGCGGTCTCCAAACGGTGCGGTGACCGACCGTGCAGTAATCTCAAGAGACCACCACATGGTTTGGGGATCTTGGCCCCATTAGCCCAAGAAATATTCGGAGAACGGGCCGTCACAAAATCGTGCGGTCACCCCGGACAACGCGGTGTGGCCACCGTACCGTTGAGGCCCGCGGCAAAAAAGATATCGGCAAACGTGTTCGTCGCCCCGACGCCCAGCAATATGAAAGGGGGAGCGAGGACGCGAATGGGAATGGGACGACGTGGGAGAAGGAGAGACATAGCTCTTGTTTCTCCGCGGGCGTCGTCGTTCGATCCAGACCGCCCGAGAGTTTCCCCCTTATTGGGCCTTCGATCGCTGTTCCGCGCTCTGTGTTGTACCCCCCATCCGAGCTTCTTTGAGGCGGCAAGAGAAAAGAAGACAAGAGGAGGCGGAAGAAGTGCGACCCTCAGTCGCGCCCATCTGCGATCAGGAGAGTGCGGCGCTCGAGATCCCCAACCAGACGCGATCCTACTGCTCATTCCTCGCCCGTTTCTGTTGCCACTCCCTGTGAGAGTTACTGCTCCAGCTGCTGCAGGTGGTGTTGCTGCTTTCATCCTGAGAGCTCCACTCGTGATCAGAGAAGGGGGGGGGCTATCCCCGCAATATCAGGGCAGACCGTCGGCCATCCTGCTCAGGACACAATGCAGTCGTTGTCTCGAGGGCGAGTGCATTTCTTGGCCAGCCTGGAGGTTTGGGCAGTGCTGGCAGCCTCTCAGAAACTCTCAGAGCAGGATCAACACCCAGAGTACCTGGCCCGCATCACTCGAGCCGAGATTGGATGGGAGACGGGCAAGTATTTGTAGAGTTGTCAGCCCGGATGCAGAAGAGAAACTGGTAATTTCCCATTGTCGAGGTGCCTCGCGAAATCACGGACAGAGCAACCACCCACTATTGCGCTGGAGAGTAAGTTTGAACGGTTTGGCATGAGGACGCAGTTGGGAGATCTGGGAAGAGGGGGACGGGAGGTGGGAAGAGGGGGAGGAAGAGAGGACGAACGGATGGATTTATTTCTTGGTGGAAGGCGTGGGATGCGCATCGGAGGGGTGGTTCAGTATGGCACGCAGGCTGAAGCAAACCTAAGATGCGTGAAGAGCGACTTGGATGTGTACGCACAAAGCGCCAGGTCAGTGTGACTACACGCTCCAGGCAAAATTGCTGGTGATGTCCAGGACGTTCACAGACACCTACCGCAGGACATATCCTCGTCGGACCCACCAGCAGAACCGAGCGAGCGTACTCGCCGGGGCAATCTCCCAATGTAGGTGCGCACCGATGGGTACGGCGCTGACGGGCCAGCACGCTGTCTGGGGCCTGATCGGGCTGGCAGGATGACGGGAGGGCCGGGGCCCTCTGAAGCTGAGACACCCGAAACAAGAGGCGGGCGGGGGCGCGGCAGAGCACGAAGACGGCGGCATGGACGCCTGCAGGGAGCACGAGGAGAGAAAAAACAACCTGCAGGAGGCTGCTTTCTAGGATCGCGAGGGGGCTCATCTCGCGCTGGTCGTGCGCCGCGCGTCCCGGGCGCCGCCGCTCTCCTGCCCCAAGGGACTGGAAGCCCCTGCAGCAGAAGCCGGGCGACAGCAGGCCGCCTCGGAGCCTCACGTCGCCTCGGCAAGGCCCCCCCGTGCAGCCCGAAGTGCAGACCAGCTCCTCTTACAGTTCGGGGGTTGACAGACCTCCTAACAGTGACACGTCGATTAGTGAATTGTCCGTTTTCGGTTCTCGAGAGGGCGCCGCGGCCGTTATTTTCCAGGCTTGCGCCCGTCAGGTTTGGGCCCGAGGTCGTTTTCACTAAACCACGTTTTACTAGAGGGAGGTCTGTCCATCCCCGAACAGTCGCACCGAGGTCTAAGGTCAAGGTCGTGTCGGGGAGGGTGCCCTGTCGTCCTCCGCCCTTGCCGGATGCTCCCGTGCCTCCTGGGGAGGGTACCCCTGGATGCTCTGTCTGTGTTTGGCCCACGGAGGGTCTTCGTGTTCGTGAGGGGTGTTCTCCCGACTCGGGTCCGACGGTACGCCTGCGCCCTCCCCTTCCGCTCCTCCTGTCTGCCCTCGGCGGCGCGCCGCGGGGGGGGGGGGGGAAGTGAGATCCAAGCAGTGGCGAAGCGTCCTGGCTCGCTGATAGGCTCACCAAAGAATGTTCTAAAAACCTCTTGTGGTCTGGACGAAATGCTCTTAGAACACTTCTGGCTGCGGCTGTGTCGGCTCAACACATCGGCTTCATGTTCTAAGATCAGCGTTTTAGTCCTTAGAGCATCGTTGGGTTCTAAGAACACTTCGCGGTGGGCCTATAGGAATGCCGGGACGGTCGGCCCCTGCTCAAGAGATGGGGCAGGCCTTCTCAGAAGGCGGCGGGGCTTCTCGGAGGATGTCTGGCCTTCTGAGGAGGCCTGCCCCGTACCACTCTATCGCCCAATACCAACCTGGCATCACAGCGTTCCTTGCAGCTCGTACCAATATTTCGCCTTTTGCCGAAGGTTGCCACGAGGGGGACACATCAATGCGATGCCCATTGTTTATTTCTGAGGGGGACCCCCTCGCTTCTGAGGATCAACGAAGAAAAAACTAAAGAAGTATAAACTTTTGGCGATCCGCGCGGATTTCTTGGATCAGCGCTGGGGCCCCCCTGGCGGCGCCTCCAGCGCCGCCCCTGGCGCGCTCCGCGCGCCAGGCAGGGGAGTCAGCGCAGATCCGAGAACTCCGCGAGGAGCGCCAACAGTTTATGTTCATGCAGTTTCTTCTCCTTCTTCTTCTTCCTCTAGAGGAACCCTTCTTCTTCTAGAGGAACCCTCCGTGGCCTCGGAAACGGCTTACGGCAGGTTCCTGCGGCCTGTTGGCGCTCCGGCGACGCAGGCGACGGCGCTCGAGGCCGAGTCTTTGCGACGCGGAGGCACCGAGGGACACGGTGATCAAGCAGTGGCGAAGCGTCCTGGCTCGCCTATAGCCCTAGCAAACAATGTTCTAAGAACCTTTCGTGGTTTCCACGAAATGTTCTCAGAACATTTCTGGCGGAGAGTGTCTTGTTTTAACACATGGGGGCTATGGTCTAAGAACATTGTTTTTGTTATTGGAACATTGTTGGGTTCTAAAAACATTTCGTGGTAGGACTATAGGAATGCCAGGACGGTCGGTCCCTGCTCAAGGTGACGCCTTTGGACCCGATGGAATGCAACCTTGAACGATCGGGGCCGCGCGCATGCACGGCGCCAGTGTGGAGGTCGGGGTTGTCAGCCCAGAGTGCGATCTCCGGAAGAAGAAAGCATTGAACGAGCATCAATGTTCCGAATGCGGTCTAATCTGGCGTGATCGGGCTTAGTGTCTTTTGTGCCGCCCTGCTCTTGTCAGCGTTGTTCAACACGGGACCCGATCCTCACTTATCGCGGACCCATCGTTGAGATCCCAATGAAGTCCAGATATTGCCTTGGCCCCTTATTGCTATCTTTCGTCCTTTCCTACCCGCCTTCGCGCTCGTCATCGGCCTCCTCTACCCCTGGCCATCGAAGTCCCATCCCCACTTTGTGTTGCTGGTTCATATTTCCTCTCTCTTTCTCTGACTCTCTCTCTTTGCCGCGTCGCTTATCACTGATGTTCAAAGTGAGGTTTCATGGGAAGGGTAACTGTAGGGGATATTGTTAGGTATACAGAGGGTTAAGACGCGGGCGCAGGAGAGGGGAAGTTTGTGGAAGGAGGAAGAAAGCGAGAGAGAGAGAGAGACAGAGATAAAGACAACGAGGGGGAGAGAGAGAGAGAGATAGATAGAGAGAGAGAGACGGAAGGAGAGATAGAGAGAAAGAGAGGGAGCGAGAGAAGTAGAGGCAGAGGTGGACGTGGCGGTACATGTGGTGTATATGGCGTATGGGAAGATATATATATAGAGAGAGAGAGAGAGAGAGAGAGAAACAAACAAACAACAAAACGCATATGTATGCACGCATGCATATGTAGAGATAGAGAGAGAGAGAGAGAGAGAGAGAAAGAGAGACAGATAACGAGAGAGAGAGAGAGAGACAGAGACAGAGACAGAGACAGAGAAGAAGAGAGGAGAAATGAGTTCCATTTCGACAGTGCCCTCTTCTTTCCCATCTCTCCGCTCCCCTCACCCTCCCCTGCCTCGCCCCGCTCTGGAGGCCGCCCTCCCCGCCACCTCTCCCCCCGGGTCCTTCCCCCTCCCTCGTCCTCGTAGACCCCCCCGGCCTCCAGCGGGAGCGCCCTCCGCAGGTCCTGGCGATCCCCCGCAGCGGTCCCCGCGGCCGCCGCCGCGAGTGGTTGACGTGCGCGGCGCCGCGGGTCCTGGCGATCCCCCGCAGCGGTCCCCGCGGCAGCCGCCGCGAGTGGTTGACATGCGCGGTGGGCAGTGTGGGCCGGACGGGGTGTGGTTCGGCACCTCCGCCCCCGCCTCCCGCTCCTCCGCCAAGGCTTGAAGTGAAGGTTTTATCTCGTTCTTTGATGTTGCTTCGCAACTGTTCTGATTCCTGATTCCTGATTCCCCCGCTGACCCTCCTCTCGAGTCGGCCACCCTGCCTGCCGCGCGCCCAGGAGCGCACATCGACGGGCACACCTCTCCGGATTCGGATGCGCCCGTGCCCCAAGTTCTCCAGAGGAGTTGTTGCCCGACGGAGCGCATCGCCCCGTCCTCTTATGTGCCCATTTCGGAAGAGGGCTGCGTCAACCGCCTCGCCCACCACCGGGAAGCGTGGCCGGCGGCATACCTACTGGGCAGGGCCCTGTATTGCCGCAGTGTCCCATGCCCTGCGCCTCCGCCTGCCGAGCGAGGAGCCCCTTTGGGCTCCTCAACCGGACTTGACTTGAGCTTTTTGTTAGGGGCATGGCGATCCCGCAGCGTCTACGCAGCGCGATTACTGCAGACGCACCCCCCAGCTTGTGTCTTTTGTCAGTTTCGCATCCGGCCGAGTCTTGAAGGGGAAGCGGACGTTCCTGGAGGAGATGACCCCTCCTCATCTTCCTTCCCGTGCTCAAAGTCCTCATTGCAGTTGTTCATCCGTCCTCCTCCCCTCCTCCCGCCTTTTTCCTCCTTCTCCCACTCCCTACCCGAATGTTTTTGTTTGTTTCATCTTCGTCTTCATCCCCCGCCGCCTTCCCGTCCTCCTTGCTGGCCGTCTTCATTGCCTCGTCCCCATTCGTCCCCTGGAAGATTCAGAAGGGAAAACAACACACAGACACAATTAATCGTCGAGTCCCCAGAACATATGGGAAAATATGGGAAGTGGGGGGGAAGACAAAAACCCAGAAAATATGGGAAAATATGGGGAGTCGTTTTATTTGTGTGTATTTATTTGTGTGTCCTGGGGCCCCTTCAAAGATAGTCGTCAGTCCTCAGTTTAAAGATGCTGTCAGACACTGAGCGTGCTTCGAGCATGCAGCGGAGCCGTCGTGCTCAAAGACCTCTCAGTAAGATCGACGAGCCTCAGGACGTGTGCAAGCCCAGTGTGTGCACACCCCGTTCGGCCTGTGTCGGCCATCTTTGCACCATCTTCTTCGTATTGTGGGGCTTTGGTGGACCAGCACACGCTGGTTTACCGCTCACCAAACCACCCCAATCTAACCCGGAGGCCCCGATTTGCCCTCCATTTCCAGTGGGGGGGGCGGTTGTGCAACATTGAAAAACACATATGAAGCCCGTAGCCCCCCAACCCGAAATTCTGGTCTTCGGGTCGGGTTGGGGTGGTCTGGTGGGTAGTTATTGGCGCTAACACATTCTGAGGATCATCGATACGAATCTGCAGGACAAAAGGCGACAGCTTTTCCCCCTTCTCTTCTGCGCCCGCAAACGTCACCGACGCCCCTCACCCCCTGGTGCCGTTAGATGACCACGAACACGACGACGACGACGTCGCCTCACCAGCGAGATTGAAGTCCACACTTAACTTCAAGTCAGGAATGTCCCTCTACAGGAGGAAGATTCAAAAAGAGTCTAGCAATAGTTTGGGACGATGTTTCTACATATTGTGACCTTCTTTGAATTGTTGACGCTTCGCGAATCCCCCCCACCAGCATTTGTCAGCGGGCCGGCCGGCCTGTGCCTGTTGTAGCTAATTAGCATCGTTCGTGCCCCGGACTTTGCTTCTCGCCGCCTGACCTTGGTCTCGCGGCCGCGACCGAAAAAGAATCCCCACCAGCCCATCCAGAAACGATGCCCAGAGGAAGTGCCTCGATCAGGGAAGTGGGCAGCACACAGAGGAAGCCATTACGAGACATTTTGGGATATCTTGAGCCATCATGGAGGTCATGTTGGGCACTCCCAGGTGCTCTTGGAGTTATCTTAACCAGTGCCCCCCCAAAGAGGCCAACATGTGGCTAAAACCTTGGTAAAATCAATGATTTGGCATTCTCGCCGAGGCCTCTGGGAGCATCTTGGGTGCCTTTAGGGAGTCTCTTAGGGCTTCTTGGGGGTCTCTTGGGGGCCTCCTGGGGGCCTCTTGGGGGCCTCTTAGGGCCATCTTGGGACCTCTTGGGGCCTGATGGGCGCTTCTTGGTGCCATCTTGGATGAGATCTATCAGACAAGAGGGGAGCTTTAATTAGGCCCCCCCCCAGGAGACCAAGATGGGGCCAACACCCTAGTCAAATCAAGGATTTGGGTTTCCTCGCCAAGCCGTTTTGGACGCTCCGACGATTCGCGGAACCCCTTGTCCAGGCTGGTGGGTAGGGGGTAGGGGGAGGGGTCAAGACCCCCTCTCCGCCCGCAAGCCGTCTCGCTCACTCCCACCCGCCCTCCCAACACATACGTAGCACCCGAGTCTGGCCCGAGCCTCAGCAAATTCAGCAGTCGTCTTTGGATGGGCAGCTACTGGGGGCCAATCCGCCGCCTCCGCCGCCGCCGCCGCCGCTGTCCGCCGCCGCCGCCGCCGCCGCCGCCGCCGCGCTGCCGCCGCCGCCGCCGCCTGCCGCCGCCGCCGCCGTCGCCGCCGCCGCCGCCGCCGTCGCCGCCGCGGCCGCCGCCCCCGCTGCCAAACCGCCGCCGCCGCCGCAACCGCTGCCGCCGCCGCCGCCGCCGCGCGCCGCCGCCGCCGCCGCCGCCCCCGCCGCCGCCGCCGCCGCCGCCGCACCCGCCGCAGCCGCCGCCGCCGCAGCCGCAGCCGCAGCCGCAGCCGCCGCAGCCGCCGCCGCCGCCGCCAAGTGTACTCTGCATTGTGTTTTGACAGGGATGGCGGGGGGGGGCGCATCGGGTTGGCTGCGCATGTTCCGAATTTGGAGGCAGAGTGTGTTTTGCATTGTTGTTTTAGAAGGGATGGTGGGGGGGGGTGTCGTCATGGACCTGGGTTGGCCCCCAGTCGCCTGGGGGAGTGGGTGTTCATTAATAGGGAACAGTGATAAACCCTTCCCAGAAGGGGAAAAAGGAGGGGTGGAAGAGGAAAAGCTCTAAGCCACCGACGCCCAGAGGGCTGGTGGGATTTGTTTAACTATTGTTCATTGTTTCCCCAAAAACCCGCCTGTGGGAAGACATGCCCGACCCAAATTTCATTCAGAGGAACAGGAGGGGCCATGATACGGATACTTCCCAGGATTCCCCGGATTTCTGATTGCTTCGGCTTTCCGAACGCCTTCCAGCCGTTGCCGCCGACCCTGTCGACGCCGACGTCGACGACGCTCGCGAACATTTGTGGGTTTATGATGTTCCAGCCTACTTCAGCCTTGTTCACCAGAAATAATTTCGAGCACCAGGAAATAACAGCGAAACCCGAGGGCATTCGCGTGTCGGGCCCTGGGAGACACGCGTCCGACACTGCTTGGACACTCTCTCGGCACTCTTGCGACACTCTTCCAGGTGCTCGAAAGTATCTCTGGGAGGTGGCCCTTAAGTACGAGCCCCATTTTCGTGGGGGCCCTTATAGCCCCCCGGGACCCGCTCCAGGACCGATGCGTGCGCGGATTCCTTGGATTTCCGAACGCCTTCGGGCCGTTGCCGCCGACCCTGACGACGGCGACGTCGACGACGCTCGCGAACCCTCGTGGTGTTATGATGTCCCAACCACCCAGGATGAATTTCGAGCACCAAAAACTAGTACCGAAACTCGAGGGTTTTCACGTGGCGGGCCCTGGGAGACGCGTCCGACAGTGTTTCGACACTGCCTCGACACTCTTTGGACACTCTTCTGGGTGCTCGAAGTTATGTCTCTGGGATGTGGTCCCTAACTACGAGGGGAGCCACATTTTCGTGGGGGCCCTTGTGGGCCCTGTTGGCCTCGGGGCTGTGCGGGGGCCCCTGGGGGCCCTGCTGGCGAACCCTCGTGGGGGCCCCTGTGGGCCTCGACGACGCTCGCGAACCCTCGTGGGGGCCCTCGTGGGGGTCACCCCCCTCCTCCTCCTCCTCCTCCTCCTCCTCCTCTTCCTCCTCCTCCTCCTCTTCCTCCTCCTCCTCCTCCTCCGACCACCGAGCCTCCCCGCCCCCCCCCCCCCCCCGGGGGGCCCTTCCAGGAGACCGCCCCCGAGAGGCCGCCGCCCCCCCCCGCCCCGGCGGGGGGAGGGCATCGATCGAGGGCGGGCGAGGCCACGACGGCGGCGTCACGTTGGGCCTGTCCCTCTACAGTGGGGATCTTCGGGTCGGGCGAAAGGGGGGGATTGGGAAAGGGGGGGTTACGAAATTTGCTGCATGCAGCTGGTTTCGGCCTCACCGAGGGGCCCATTCCTCAATACATAGCTCCATCCGGCGCCGGGAGGCGCCGGGAAAATCAGCTACGTGAGCTGATTATCAAACCCCCCCTTTGCTATCCCCCCCTTTCGCCCGACCCGGGATCTTCAAGAGCAGTCCGAGAATAGCCTGGGGACGATTTCTGGATTGTGGTTTGACTCTGTTCTGGGGTATGTGTTTGGCGTATGATTTCAATTCTTCGCCCCAGAACCCGCCTGCAGGGGGACAGGCCCGAGCTGAGGCAGCCGCAGCGCGGCAGAGGCACTCCCCACGCGCGCTCAAGTAGTCCGGGGCTCGGAACAGTAATTGTCCAGCGGCGCGAGAGAGAGAGAGAGAGGAAGGCGGAAGGCGACCGCGGGGGGCGGAAAGGGAGGATGCGCTCACAGCGCGATGAACATCGGCTGGAGTGGCCAGCGCGGCTGGCCGCTGCTGCGGCGTCCTGGCAGTGGACGTGGAGCGGCATCGCGCCCATGCCCACGGGCTGAGGCAACGCCTGCAGGCAATTTGCCAATTTGCCCCACCAACAAGCCAAGGTTTCATGTAGTGTCTGGACCGCTAGCACGGATGCCCCGACCTTCAATGCCCCTCCAGCCGCCTGCCCGCACTCATGTTTCGCCCACACGTCCGCGTCGTCGTTTCCCTTCGTTTCGTTACATGTGTTTGCCCTTGTCCACCAGCTATTGAAGAAGTCTACGTTCGGTTTTCCGCCCGCCCGCCTGAGTGTCCCGCCAGCCGTCCTCGTCCTCGTCTTTGTCCTCGCTTTCCTGCGTTTTCCCGTGTTGCGCACTTCCCCAATCTTGCCCCGGCACCCAGCGAACGCCACATTGAATGCTGCCCCCCACGCTCGCCCGCTCCAACGTCCCGCACGACCGACCCCCTTGCTTTGCTGTCCCGCCCGCCCGGCCCGGCTGCCGACTTGAATATCCCACACGCGTCGCCATCATGTCGACGTCCGTCGCTCCGTCGCCGTCGTCGTTGTCTCCTGCCCGCTTCAGCGAGGAGTTCGACGATTCCGTGCCGACCTAATCCGAGACACATGACGATTCGACCCGATTTTCCGATTCGAATTTGGCTGATCCTGCCACCCCCCAGACCTAGAAGGATTTGTTCCTTCAGTTTCTGCGTTGTTCCCCCATTTCGGCCTACAGGGTGCCGTTATCGGGGCCCCGGGACCCTCCATTGTCTTGGTCCAGGACGACAGAGTGCCCCCCCTACAGAAAGGCGGTTGGGAGCTCTGGGGTTGCGGATTCAACAAGTCACATCGTCGGACACCCATGGATACTTCGGCTTGCCGCTGATCCGATTCCCCATCATAATCCATCATCCCCGTTTGCTCACTCGGCCATCCTGATCCCCCGTGCTCCCTCCTCCCATAACTTCTGTCCTCACCCTTCCCTGCTCCGTCCTGCCCACGAAAGCCAAATTCGTGAGATGAGGCCCGCGTTGGTTTCGAAAGGCGGCCTATGTGCCCTGGATCTTTGTATGCGCCGTCACCTGGCGCTCCTCGCGCACCTGGGCGCAAGTGAAGCCCGAAAGGTGCTCCGTTCCTGATGGTAGAGCGTCGCCAGTGTCCCTTCAGGTTGGGCAAAAAAACATACAGACACAATTAATCGTCGATCCCCCAGAAAATATTGAAAATATGGGGAAGACAAAAGCACAGAAAATATTAGAACACATGGGGAATCCTGCGATTTGTGTCTATTCTCTTGCGTGCCCCAGGGCCCCATTCATCCCTCTCCTCCCGCTGAGGCCCTCCCACCCCGAGGGGCTGCCTCGCACTCCGCGCTCCGCGCAGCGCGGAGCGCGAAGTTGGGAGCCCTTGCTCTCCTCCCGCTGAGGCCCTCCCACCCCGAGGGGCTGCCTCCTCCGCGTCTTCCTCCTCCTCCTCCTCCTCATCCTCCTCCTCTGCCTCCTCCTCCTCCTCCTCCTCCTCCTCCTCCTCCTCCTCCTCCTCCTCCTCCTCCTCCTCCCTTCTCCTTCCCTCTGATTCCGACGGCTCTGACTGAGGAGGGAAACAAAACCACACAGACACAGTCCATCGTCGATCCCCAGGAAAGCATAGAAAAATATGGGAAGCGGGGGGGAAGACATCATCCCTGAAAATATGGGAGCGTGTGGGGTATCCTGTGATTTGTGTCTGTGTATTTGATCGCTTCGCTCGTTCTGCCTGCCCTGGAGCCCTCTTGAGGGCCTCTTGGGGACCTCGTGGGAGTCTCTTGGGGCTCCTTGGCTGCGTCTTGGGGGCCCCCAGGGCCTCTTGGGGGGCTTTTGGGGGCCTCCTGGGGCGGGAGGGGGGGTAGTCGATTGCGGCTCCCCTCTCGGAGGCCACGATCCTCGTGATGGGGTGTCGAAAAATGGCCCTCCCCTGGAGTGCTCTTGTGGCTTCTCCCAGGACCTTGCTGGGGTACTTTTCGTCCGGGGCCCCCCAGGGGCCGCTCCGCGCGCGCGAACTAGAAATATTGTTAACCAGTTACTGGAGATCTTAGCACGCCTCTGGCCCGTTGGGCCGGCAAATTTGTGTGTCCTGGGGCCCCTTCATGATTGAGGAGTGATAAGTTTGTCCCAACCATCTTGTGGTGTTGGATCTTCGTCTTGAAGAGACAGCGCCCCGCGTCACTCCTCCCGCTGCCCCCTCCCCCCTCATCTCCCATCCGCACCCCTCCTCCCGTCCCTGCCTCTGTTCTCCGCATGTCCATCTCGGCACACCCCTCACACGTTGCGTGGCCCCATAGAGAGCTCCACCGAAGGCCCCAGTGGCCGCGTCCGCATGCGATCACCCGCCCATTTCGGCACCCCTCTCACACGGTTCGTGGCCCCATAGGGAGCTCCACCGAAGGCTCCAGTGGGAGGGTTCGCATGGCACCACCGCACCCAATTCGGTACAACCCCTCACACGTCTCGTGGCACCAGAGGATGCTCCACCGAATGCTCCAGTGGGAGGGTTCGCATGGCACCACCGCGTCCAATGCGGCACGCCCCTCACACGGTTCGTGGCCCTATAGGGAGCTCCACCGAAAGCGGTACCCACAATGCGGCATTCGCAGCTGCATAGGGTTGGGTCTTTCGTCAGGCTAATGTTTGCACCATTGATGATGTCAGCACAAATCCCTTCCCCGCTCTCCTCTCATCCTTCCCGTTCCCCCCCTTCCCCTGACTCCCTTCTTCGGGGGACGTCAACAGTCCACCTCACCCGTTCTGGCGGCGCCCGTCCTGGGCACCATTGCCAGGATCGGCGAGGTGGATGACGCCCAGTTGCACGTACGAGTGAACCTTCGCCAGAGTGATTGAGGAGGAGGCGGAGGAGGCGGAGGAGGCGGAGGAGGAGAAGGAGGAGGAGGAGGAGGAGTAGGAGGAGGAGGAGGAGGCGGAGGAGGAGGAGGAGGAGCAGCAGGAGGAGGAGGAGGAGGATTGAGTGCTGGCCTAAAAAAGAGGCAGGGGATGTTTGCTCTCGGGAGTGCGCTCGGCACCGCGTCGGCGCTCGCAGCGTCGGGTCGCGCGCGCACCTGAGCGCATCTGCATGGGGCCCCCCTGCCGTCATCGACCCTCCTCCTCCTCCTCCTACCTCCTCCTCCCCCTACTCCTCCTCCTCCTCCTCCTCCGCCTCCGCCTCCCTCCTCCTCCTCCTCCTCCTCCTCCTCCTCCTCCTCCTCCCTTTCCTCCTCCTCCTCCCTCCTCCTCCCTTTCCTCCTCCCTTCCTCCTCCTCCCTCCCTCCTCCTCCCCTCCTCCCCCTCCTCCTCCTCCTCCTCCTCCTCCTCCTCCTCCTCCTCCTCCTCCTCCCCCTCCTCCTCCTCCTCCTCCTTCTCCTCCTCGTTGCGCATTGCACAGCGCGCGTTGGTTTCCCGAGTGGGGGCGTGCTTCTGCCTCCCCGGGACCAACCCCGAGTCAGCCGACGCACGTTATTTCGACAAGTTGGGTAGCGCTCGTGCCCTCCACCCCCTCCTGTCGATTTGGTTGGTATTGTTAAGTCGGGCCTGTCCCTCTACAGGAGGAATTACCCCAGTGCGATCCTACCTAGAAGTTGGAGCCCCTAGGAAAGCAGCATTAGTTGCTATGCTATGATATACCATGCTATGCTGCGCTATGCTAAGCTATGCTACGTTAGGCTGCGCTATGCTATGCTAAGCTATGCTATATCATGATATGATATGCTAAGACATGCTATGCTATGTTATGGTATGCTAGGCTGCGCTATGCTATGATATGATATGATATGATATGATATGCTGCGCTATGCTATGCTATGACATGACATGCTATGCTGCGCTATGCGATGCTACGCTATGCGATGCTATGCTGGTTTCTGCTATGCTAAAGCTCAGCGAAGCTAAGATGAAGGTAAGCTAAGCTAAGATAAACCTGAGCTAAGATGAAGCTAAGCTGAGCTAAGATGAAATAAACTAAGCTAATATGAGATAAGCAACGCTAAGCTAAGGGGACGTAACTGGGGGAACCGCGGGGCGGATATTGGGGGAACCGCCCGGGGCGCTTTCCACTGCCCTGCCCTTTAAGCCCAGAGAGTAAGAACCCTTCTAGGCAGAGCCTAGGTAGAGAATGTTCAAACATAGTCAACAAATAGACAGGGGACGATTTGTTGGATTATTGTTGGGTATGTCTTGGGTACTGTTGGGGGTATTTTATGTTTCGTCCAAAATCCGCCTGTAGGGGGGCATGCCCGACCTAATACTATTGCTTTTGAACTTATTTGCGCCCGTGGGGGGCCCAGGGTGGGCCCAGAAATTGCAACGACGCTGGACCTGGTCAGACGTTATCGCGATGCGGCCCAGCAGTGCCAGGCCTTGTCGCTGTGGCTCTCGACTCCCTCTGGCGCCCGAACTGGCGGAGGTCCGCAGCTGCCCGCTAGTGTTGAGTTTTTTTCGAGGCGCGACCCCCCGATCGTTTATGCGACGCCACAGCAGCGGCCTGTGCGAATGCGTCAGGTCCCCACCGGCCCCCTGAAGCCGGGCACCAAAGGTCATATTTGCGTGGGCTCATTCTTGCGATTAGGCGAAGTACGTGCCGTCCCTCGACTCATCTTCCATTGCCCATCTCCGCTGCTCTCTAAGCCCCCCGTCCCCCATAACCTCCTGGCGGGTGGCCAGAGGTGCCGAGGGGTCAGCGCCGAGTGCGGGCAGCCATCCATCCGCCAACTGCGCCCTGGAGGACGCCAGCCTGCTCGGAAACCCCCAAGAGGCGTCACGCCCGGGAGTGAGGGGGGGGAGGAGGAGCAGCAGCAGGAGAGTGATGCCGAGTGCGGGCAGCCATGCAACCTGGACCGCTGCCCCACCTGGTCAGAACCCCCCCCCAAGAGGCTGCAAGCTCATGGTGGGCGGAGCAGCATGGGCGTCGAACGTAGATGAACGGAAGTCGGCGTCGCCGCGGTACGTGCGATAGCCAAGACCGAGGCGAGCGCCACAATAGGGGTAGGAGCAAGAGGAGCGGCGAGTTCGGGGTACCGACCCATACAGTGCACAATTTCTGGATTTCTTGGGTCGAGTCGCCAGCAGTGACATGTGATCGGCGTCGCCCTGACAGACTTCTACTACATGTGCGTGGCCCCCCCCAGGGGCGACGCGGGCACCAAGAAATCTTAAGGTATGCGCGTCGTGGCGGGCGCTGCCTTGCCACACCCCGCGGGAAGCGATCTACTACAAGATGGGTATACTATTATGTTCGGGACGGACGCGCGCCTCCAAGGAGGACCTATGGCACTGGTATGTCTTTGCGCCTCCCGTGTGAGCTCCTCTTTACCCGAAGAGGTTCGCTCTCGCCCCGCAGACCAACAAAAAAGTGTGAGCCCACGCTGAGCGCGCCTCGACTGGGCGAGCTTCGATTCGGGCACGCGCCGACATGGAGGGTGGACTCGTGGAGCCGGCGCGTGGGCGCCGGGCCCGCCGGTCGGGGAAGGCGCAGGAGGAGGAGGAGGCGGAGGAGGAGGAGGAGGAGGAGGAGGAGGAGGAGGAGGAGGAGGAGGAGGGGGAAGAGGAGGAGGAGGAGGAGGAGGAGGATGAGGAGGAGGAGGAGGAGGAGGAGGAGGAACCCCGACGCGTGAGAGGGCCAGGTGCCGCCCGGTTCCGGCGACGGAGCGCGCCGCTTCCGCAGGGGCACGGGGCCCCGTCGCCAGTGGCAGCCGGTGGAAGAGCCGAGGTGTCCACGGGATTTTGTCGTCGGCAGGCGGCGTTTGGGAGCTCGGTTTGTGCTCGTTGTGGTGCCGATCGGCGCGGGCCCTCGCACCCCCTCAGAGTCCCGAATCATCAGGGGTAACTCGGGTCAGGGATAACTCGGGTTCGTTTTTCGGGAATCCAAACCCGAGTTACCCCGGACCCGAGTTACCCCGGATAACTCGGGCGTCCAGAACCCCGAATCATCAGGGGTAACCCGGGTCAGGGCTAACTCGGGTTCCTTTTTCGGGAATCCAAACCCGAGTTACCCCGGACCCGAGTTACCCCGGATAACTCGGGCGCCCAACGTCTCCCCCCCCCCTATGGGGAAGGTCTCGGATGTTTGTGACGCCTGTTTCCAGCAGGTGGAGTCTCCCCCGTGATGGTCGCACAAAGCAGAGGTCCAGAGCCAGACCCCCCCCCCCTTCCGCCCAATGTCGAAACGCCGAGAACAAGAATCACCAAACGGCGCTTTGACGAATCGGGCAATCCACCAGGCCGGGATGCAATATGTCCAACTCGACGCCGAAGCTCAGCCATCTCGTCTCTCAAAGTTTATCGACAGCCTCAAACCATGCATATGTTTATCTCGCGTGTGATCTGGACATCCCGTCGCTGATCCATACGTGCGTCCCGATGCACCTCCTGGGAGGTCGAGTCTTCACCTTGCCCTGGTCCGAAACCCGATTCGATCTGGCCTTTCATCCTACTGAATCCGGCTCAATCCCGCTCACTCCGGCTCAATCCCGCTCAATCCCGTTCAGTCCGCGGCCTCATTTGCCGCAGCAGCCCCCCGATTGGGCTTAATCCTTCCGAATCCTTCCGACGAAGACCTCACAGCAGTTGCCTCCTTACTCGCGTTTCCTCGACTGATGCAACAGCCCGCGAAGCGATGACCAGACGGACCGCTTGCCCGGGCAGGCACGGCCCGTGGCTTTGCGCATGCGCTGCGGCACTGCCCTATCCTTGCTGGCACGCTCCAAGAGGGACGGTCTGCCCACGACAGGCGCCGGCAGGTCAATGACCCTCCCCGTGGTTCTTCCTCCCTCTCCCCTTCCTCTCCCCAGTGCAGCCCCCTCTCGGTGGCGAGCGGGGGGGGGGAACCGAGAAGGAGAAGGCCCTCTGAGAAGGCGGCGGGGCTTCGCCCAAGCCGTTGCGCCCTCTGAGAAGTCTCCCGTGCTCTCGCGGAAAAGTTCAGAGAAAGTCTCAGAAGGCCGGGGGGGGGTGCGAGCCTTCCGAGAGGGCGCCGCCGACTCTCCAGCGCACCCTCCTCTCCCTCCCGTGCCGCGCTGGGTGGGCCCCCAGAAAGTCCGCCAATAGCGGGGGGGCGAGGGCCAATCCGCTCGAAATTGGTCCTTGCCGGCTCTGACTGCAACAGGATGTCTGATGTCCTCGAAGCAGTAAAGAAGGAAAACACTATAGTTGAAAGAAGGCGCCGACAAGCGCATATTTGTTGAGGATGCAGAACATGCAATCACTTGTTGTCGCTGATGCACAAGAAATTGGTCCTTGGACCCCCTCCCTGTCGAAGCTGAGAAGTGTTTCGCGCCGCGCACAGCCGTGGTGTGACGAGGGGGCCCCGTTCCCCCCCCCCCTCTGCTGGCCGGCACCGCTGCCGGGCCACCTCGGCCCCCTCGGCCGGCTCCCGCCCTCAGCGGCACTCGATTGGCTTCTTAGAAACTAGTCGGGTGCCTCTGATTTGGACGCCCGAAATGGGTACCGAAAGAAGGGGTACAATGCCCAACGACAAATGTTGTCCCAAACCAGCAGCGGCCGCTGTTTGGCAGGCGGCCTTCTGCCTCGAGTGGACACAGGGCCGCGGCGGCGCGGACAGCGAGTTCCTGTTCAGAAGGAGCAGGCACTGTTTTCTGGGCATTGCACCCATTCTTTCCGTACCCATGTCGGGCGTCCAGATCTGAGGGAGCGTCCCCGTGATGGCCGCCACGCTTCGCCAGGGCTGCGCCCCTCCGCGCCCGTGTCTCGTGCGCCCTCGGCTCCAGCCTCTGCAGAAGCGAGAGCGCTACAAGCGTAAACGTTTGGCGCTCCGCGCGGATCTCTTGGATCCGAGCTGCCCTCCCTCCCCTCCCTCCCCTCCCTCCCCTCCCTCCCCTCCCTCCCCTCGCCGCCCCCTGGCGCGCGCTCTGCGCGCCTGGGAGAGCGGCCCAGCGCAGATCCAAGAAGTCTGCGCGGGGCGCCAAAAGTTTCTGCTCATGCAGTCCAGAACCTTAGTAAGGACGCGCGACTCTGCTCAGGGTACCCTTGCCTCCCTGCTCTTCCCCGCTCTTGCGTCCTTGAGGTGTTCGTCGCCCGCCGCCCCAAAAATCCCAACTTCGGCTTCCAAGGGTCTTGCGTCCTTACCGCGCGTCCTTATTCGGGTTTTTGACTGTAGCGTTTTTTCTCCTTCTAAATTTGGGGCACCCGTGCGGTGCATGCAGGGCGGGGCTAGGACGAGGAGAAGTCCGTTCCAGAGCGTTCCTGAACACTCGGAGCGTTCCGGAACGCTCTGAGAAGGCCGCGGCGCCTGATACATGCTCCAGAGCAGCCAGATCTCAGATATTCTCGATTCATACTGACCCGATGTTATCCTCGTACTGGCCTCGTCTTAGCATGATGCAGACCGTGTCCGCGTCTGCGTGTCCTCATCCGTCACCTCCAACGCTTCTCCCCGAGAGTCTAGCACGACACCTACGCTTGCGGAAGAGTGCAACCAGACCTTTCGGAGACCGACGCCATATTCGGGGGGGGAGGATGGGGAGGAGGGGGGGAGGAGGGGGGGGAGGGGGAGGAGGGGAGGGGGAGGGGGGGGGAGGAGGCGGAGGAGGGGGGGTGGGGGGGGGCAATACACGCATCCAGGGTCTCCCATCGGCCATGCCTTCGACGAGGCTCGGGGGCGAATACGTGCAACGCCCGCCCCTGGTCATCTGCCCCTCATCGTCCGCCCCGATATATTGTGGGCTCCTGCCTGGCGGTCGACGGCGCCCCTCGCTCTCGCGCTCCCGAGGGTGGCCCCCAGGCCTGTCCAGAGTCAGGCGATCGCAAACATGGATCAAGGGGGCGTGGATTAGCGACGGGTCCCGTTTCTATGGGAAATCGCGGACTTCCGTCGCCGAACGAGGCGGCACCAGCCGCATTGGGGGGAGGCCACTTCCACCGATCCGTGGACTCGGTGACCGCCCGCCAAATCCGTGGATCGCTAATCCATGTTTGCGCGCCCCCGACAGAGGTGCGTTCGGACCACAATTCCTGGGGAGCCGTGACGAAAAAGTTCCAACCATCCTGCGGTATTGGGTCCTCGGCTTGAAGGGACAGCGTGTGTCGTTCCGCCTCTCCTGTCCTCTCCTCTACTCCTCCTCCCCCTCCTCCCACCCTTGCCTCTGCCCTCCGCATGTCCACGATTTCTGCGCACCCAGTACAGCTTTTCGTGGGCCCATAGGGAGCTCCACCGAAGGTCCAAATGCCAGCATTCGCATGCGCCCACCGAAACCATGTTGGCACACCCCTCACACGTTTCGTGGCCCCATTGAGAGCTCCACCGACGGCCACACCGGTTGCGTTCGAATGCGCCCAACACGCCTATATTGGCACACCCCGCACGCTTTGCAGCCCCATAGGGAGCTCCACCGACGGCCCCAGTGGCTGCGTTCGCATGCGTCCACCGCACCCATTCTGGCACACCTCTCACACGTTTCGTAGCTCGATATGGGAGCCAGACCGACGGCCCTACAGGCTGCGTTCACAAGCGCCCACCGCACCCATTTTGGCACGCCCCTCACACGTTTGGCAGCCCCATAGGGAGCTCCACCGACGGCCCCATTGGCTGCGCTCGCATGCGTCCACCGCGCCCATTTTGGCACACCTCTCACACGTTTCGTTGTCCCATCGGGAGCTCCACCGACGGCCCCAACGGCTGCGTTCGCATGCGCCCACGGCACCCATTTTGGCACATCTCTCACACGCTTCGTGGTCCCATAGGGAGCTCCACCGACGGCTTCAGTGGCTGCGTTCGCATGCGCCCACCGCACCCATTGTGGTAC